GTGTCAGCCTCACGGACAGAAACTGGAAGTTGGTTCCACAAGAGAGGAGCCTGAGAACTGGAAGATCTTCCTCCCATTCTGCTGCTGGAAACTCTAGGAACCACAAGTAAACCTGCAGTCTGAGAGAGAAGTGCTCTGTTAGTAAAATATGGAACAATAAGATCTGTAATATAAGATGGAGCTAGGTTGTTGAGAGCTTTGTAGGTTAGAAGTAAGATTTTGAATTCAGTTCTGGATTTGACAGGGAGCCAATGGCAGATGGGCAAAAATGTAAAAAATGTTACTGCCTGCATTCATCTTTAAGTGGTGGATGATAACCAGGGCTGAGTCTGAGCCAGGTCCTGCCGGACCAGGATCTTGGAACTCTCTTATTTTGACAGGGTGCGTTCTGGTAATTGTTTGCTTGGATCTGGCAACTCTCAGGCTTACTAATAAAGTTATGAACAAATATGACTGCCTTGAATAAATAAAACCTATATTGGACATATAATCTAAAAATAATGACATCAACACCCACTTTAAACATAACGAGCTTCCTAACGTCACATCTGAGCTGCTCCTTCAAGGAAGTATTTCTGGTTCTACCCTTAAAAAAGCTCCGCCCCTAAAAGTTCAGTCATAGACAATTTTATTAAAATCTCAAAAATATAAATTAAACAGCACAAATAAATTGCAAATCAGTTTTACAGTTTAAGTGAGTCATTAATACAATTTTGATTATTAAAAATATGAGAGAAATGTTTGACGGGTAATCACGTGACGTACATCACGTATAAAACAACGGTGCCAATTTCTCAAAATAACAGCAATCAAAATGTTGAAAAGACCGTCCAATTTAATTTAATTGAAAAAAAGTCTTTTTATACAGGTACAACTAAACAACCAAGAACTGAAGCACGTGAAGGCAGAGGAGATACTGGAGCAGGTGGAGTGGTGGTGGTGGTGGGGGGGGGGGGGGGGGGAGCTAACCAGGCTGTCGTACACGAGCAGGAGCCCACAGCCAGCTGCCATGAACAGCCCGAGGAGGAGCCTGGAGGTTCACATGTGGAGGAGGACAATGAGGAGTGAATTCAGCAGGAGTCGGACTCGGAACCATGAAGTGAGGGGAGTGGTTTAGGATGAGAGAGAGAAGCGGAGTGTGCTCTGTTCACACAAGGGGAGCTGTTGGTCAGGCTACTTGTTACCCTTTAAATAGTTATGTGTTTAATTATGTAGGTAAATATAAATAACCTGTTAAAATACAGCAGAATGCAGGAAATGGCATCTACTTAATTCATAAAGTTCTGACTGTCTCTCGTCCTCAGCAGAAACAAAATGAGAGAAGATGTAGACGTAGACCACGAGCTGCGATTCCCACACACTTTAAAGCAGCTTGGCATGACACAGGCCGTTTCACACATGTCTGTGGTGGAATATAGGTGTGGTGATTGGAAACTCACGGAGCCGTCTGACAGGTCTGACTGCACACGAGGATCACTGCCTGAACAAGACTGAACAGCACCAGCGCCTCCACTCAGGTTCTGTTTCCCATGAGCTGGATGTTGCTGTCGAGTTTTAAACGGCTCCACTTCAGGAACATTTTGTTACTTCAGTCCGTCTTCAAGGGAACTACATACTGCATTATGTTCAAAACCATACAGGTTTGCAGTCACCGTTTTAAACATGCACATGGTTTATCTGACATGAGGAATCTGACACATGAGGTTCATTCAACCAAACGCACCAAGACCAAACTCTGGATGTCCAAGACAACGAGCTGAAAACAGCTCACATTTACCCTGTGTGACTGAAAGGAATTAAAAACATCTTAATTATACAATTATGCAGAAACAATTCCTCCTCATCCATGTTGACAAAGTACATCTTATCCCAGGACTATTTTAGGTCATTCTTGTGAAACCAGCAGAGATGGAGGAAAAACAAGCGAGTGGTCCACCAACATCCCCCTGAGTGTTTGTAGTTTTAGAGACCAGTGTTTTTCTGGACTGGAATTTAGCAGTGAATGCAAGTAAACCTCAGTGTTTTAGCTGCAAGATAATTAAGTTGGTAGGAGTTACACTGTGGAGAAGAACCCGTCCATCATTAAACAGGGGTGGAGCCTCCAGGTTCAACTGTCCCCCTCTTACAATGCTGTGATTGCTAGTATCACTCAGCCCTCTGTGAACAGTAAACAGCCATCAGGTGCTAATGATCCATTGTTAGGCTGATGGTCCTTCTTGAGCATGTGATCAGCTGGTTCTGGTTGTCAGCATCAAACTGGTTGATCCACTCTGAGAAGGTGCTATTTAAGAGACTGAGCTGAATACAGCACCTCAGACTGAGGAAGTCTCTCGGATGAGAGACAAAACGTTTCTACATTTTTTTTCCAATATCCAGAGGACCTGATTTTACTTTTTTAGAGTATCCATGACTGTATCCAGCTCTCCTGGACCTGGGTACAGTCTCAGATCCTAGACCTGGGTACAGTCTCAGATCCTGGACCTGGGTACAGTCTCAGATCCTGGACCTGGGTACAGTCTCAGATCCTAGACCTGGGTACAGTCTCAGATCCTGGACCTGCGTACAGTCTCAGATCCAGAGCTGCTCCAATGGACCCACATGAAGATGAGGAATCAGTTCCAGTTCCACGGTGCTGCAGCTGGAGGACCAACATTACACAGAACAAGCTCCTGTTTCTGAAAGTCAGGGTGATTCTGAACTGCAGAGATTAACAACAGAAAAGATTAGATTAAAAGGTCACTTAAATGATTTGAAGTTTAATTAAAAAAAGCTTTGAAAACAACAACTATAAAGTCACATACCACACTGGCCTTCCTCCTCATGTTGAGAGTATTTGATCTGGTGACGTCATTCATAACTACGTCTACAGTAAATGGTGACTGAGGTCAATTTGAACACTTTGATGACTCCAAGGCTGCATTCACAGCAGCCCTGTTTAGTCACTTTAATCCAACTCTAGCTCGTTTTCCTAGAAAGTCCGGTTCGTTTAGGGAGGTGTGAACGCACCATGGAACTCTGTCATGGAACAAAAAGGTGAACTCTGGCCCGGGCTAAAACCTAGGTCTGGGTCTGGTAGAAGAGAACTCCAGCACGGTTCCAGTACAGTGTGAATGTAAAGAGACCGGACCCGCTCCACAGTACAAACAAACACACATTTCTCTCATATGGAGCCGTCAGCTGACTTGTGTGGAAAACAATATTCTCCATGGTCTTCTGTCTCATCTTCTGCTCATGCTGAGTCCATTGTTGAAAAATGACTAAATATAACTCCTAAAACTGATAAAACTTGATGCCACTTTGTTTTTATTTTTATTTACAGAAGAAGAAGAAGACGTGTCTTCAGAGGTTTTTGTGTCGTTTCTTTCCGTAGTTCTTGGTGCAGCGCCCCCACAGGCGAGCGGGGGAACTGGTTGCTTCAACAGGTTGGTTCAACTGGTTAATTCAACTGGTTGCTTCAACAGGTCGGTTCAACTGGTCGGTTCAACAGGTTGCTTCAACAGGTCGGTTCAACAGGTTGCTTCAACAGGTCGCTTCAACAGGTTGGTTCAACAGGGTTGGTTCAACAGGTTGGTTCAACTGGTTAATTCAACTGGTTGCTTCAACAGGTCGGTTCAACTGGTCGGTTCAACAGGTTGCTTCAACAGGTCGCTTCAACAGGTTGCTTCAACAGGTCGGTTCAACAGGTTGACTCAACAGGTCGGTTCAACAGGTTGACTCGACTGCACAGTGCAGTGTGAATGCAAACGCACCAGCTCAAATGTAACAAAAGCTCATAAATATTGGTCCCGAACCGAACCGAGTCTACCGGACTATCAGCTGTGAAAATGACCTAATGCATCTTAAGTTAGACCTTCCTCTGCAAGACTTGGTCTTTCCATTCCAAAACTTCTACCTCCGCTGTCTCCAGGACATTTCTGATTGTCAGACATGTTTGATGTACACGTCTAAAGCAGCTGCTGCATCGAAGCGAGCTCGATGGTTATTTTAAAACACCCGTTATAATTGACTGCTTAGAAATGGCTACACCAAAGCCTAAAAACCTGCTTGCACGTGCACAGACATGGTAGAAACTATACACGTTCTAACAGTGACGTTCTTAATGGGTATCGCCCCACAGGGTTCAGTGTCTGTTCTGTCCAAAGCATGGGGGGAGTGACAGGTGAATCAGGTCGTTTTCACAGCTGATAGTCCGGTAGACTCGGTTCTGGACCAATATTCATGACCTTTTGTTACATTTGAGCTGGTGCGTTTGCATTCACACTGCACTGTGCAGTTGAGCCCAACCAGTTGAGCCCAACCAGTTGAGCCCAACCAGTTGAGCCCAACCAGTTGAGCCCAACCAGTTGAGCCCAACCAGTTGAAGCAACCAGTTGAATATTGTTTTTCACACACGTCAGCTGACGGCTCCATATGAGAGAAATGTGTGTTTGTCCTGTGGAGCGGGACCCAGTCTGTTTACATTCACACTGTACTGGAACCACTGGAGTTCTCTTCTACCGGACCCAGACCTAGGTTTTAGCCCGGACCAGAGTTCACCTTTTTGTTCCATGACAGAGTTCGATGGTGCGTTCACACCTCCCTAAACGAACCGGACTTTCTAGGAAAACGAGCTAGAGTTGGATTAAAGCGACTAAACAGGGCTGCTGTGAACGCAGCCCAAGTGAAAACGTTGGTTTGCTGTGAAACGGGTGACGTAGCAGCAGCAGCTCGTGGTTTCAACATGCAGCACAGTGTGGAAACACGTGCACAGAGAAACAGGCCACGTTTCACCAGAGGCCAAGCACAAGTCTGCAGTCGACGTGGAAACACAAGGAAGGTTGCACGTGTTCGTATCCATGTGGAACGGGTCGGTGCGGTTTGAAACAAACTACGCTTCAAGCACGTCTGCCAGTGGTCGACCGTCTCGTGCACTTACCAGCTTGTGACTCTGTGGTGTCACTAACGAGCATAAAGAGGGCGCTGGCGTTTGAGGAACGTTTTCATTAAACATTTCATTATTGCAAATTGTTATGGCAGTAGATGTTGTTGTCAACGTGACGGGGCCTGCAGCAGAACATGCAGCCTCAAAGTGGCACGTGCACAGGGTAAACACAGGTGTTAGGGGTTTTCATCAAGTGAGCAAATCAAACGAACGTGGAGAAACTAAATGGGTCGAAATACATGGATGCTGATGGAATTGTTATTTTTTGGAACTCAAACATTGAAAATTTTCAAATAATAAAATATATTTTCAATTTCCCACAAACAGTTTATACAGATAAACTAAAAATACATGTAAAGTTTCAGGGTAAAGAGCCGCATATTCTCTCATTTGACAAGATGCACATAAGATGTCACATGCACAGTCGTGCATGTAGTGAAATTTGTTTTTGTACCTGCATCCAAAGATCAGCTCAGACACGGAGAATGAGAAGAAATAAAAACTCACAGATGTAACATGAAGAAATACTGACATTTTCTCCTTTCTGATGAGAAAACCGTTTATGATCGATAGATTTCCTGACACTGCCCCGACACCTGAAGGCACCATCACGTGCTAAAGCCAATCAGCTGCAACCAATTAAGGACCTGAAGGAGGGTCTGCAAGAACGCCTCAGGTCCGGGGACGTCCCGGGGGTCCAGGGTGGACACCATGTGGTGGACACACCGGGCAGAATCGGGGACAGACAGGACGAGGACAATCTGAAGACAGGTCTTAGAACAAAGGAGAAGTTTTTCACCGTAAATCTGAGGATGGTCAGTCCTGGTCCTGGTCCTGGTCCAGTCAAAACCGGGTCGAACCCGCTCCAAACCGGACCACGCTCCTCTGAGACACGCTTCGGACCCGGCTCTGTCCAACAGCTGCTCCTAATGAAACTCGAGGCGCGTGTCGGTCTCCACCGGATACAAGACGCTGCCGTGACAGCGCGCATTGAACCGGAAGTGACGCGATCGCGCTGCTCCCAAGATGACGTCAGGCGGAAGTGAAAGAGAACTCACCTTTGAGGAGAAACTTGGGACTAAACTAGATTTGTTGGACCTTTTGCTGCTTTGTAAGGATAATAAGTCCTCGGGCTGACTGGTTTGGATCCTGCAGAGTCAACATGGTGTCCACGGTCCAGAACAAGATGTCCAGCAGGTCAGAGACAACCGGAAATACGTCCTGAGTCCCCCAGGTGTAGGAAGTGTCTCATCAACAGGTTTGACTTAAAACAGCTTTCACTCAAATCATCGAGTGTCCGAGTTCATTCAATGAGACAGTCGGTGTTTTAAAATCCGAAATATTTCCAGTCCCATTGTCCCGATTATGCATTAATGTCACAAATAAAGGTTTAATTTTTGCTATTTTTACATAAAACAAGAATCTTTCAGTTCAGAAGCTTTTGTCAGGAATTTATATAAAAGTGATAAAATGAGTTTATCAAAGAATGAGTTTGTTGCTGCGATAAATTTTACTGTTGCCGTTAACTTTTTAATTGTGAAAAATAACCAACAAAATGTTAATAATAATGATAAATATGTCTCACTGAGAGAAGAATGGAGCGAGAGACAGACAGACAGATCAGTGCAGTGTCTGCAGTATTGTGGACTCTGTACCGGTCCGTTGTGGTGAAGAGGGAGCTGAGCTGTAAGACAGAGCTCTCTGTTTACTGGTCGGTCTACGTTCCTCCCCTCACCTGCAGCAGTGGAAAAGCCCGTCCTGCGCCGTACGTAGCGCCGTTGTCTTCTTCAGCCTCACATTCAAAAACTGAACGAGACGTTACGGCCACAACCACAGCATGGTCCATGTCTTTCTGCAGGAGAGACAAAACAGCTGCTTGTGTTGAAGTGTCTCTTAAAGGTGGACAGACTGTAGGACAATCAGTGAAGT